ACTAATATGTTATTCTTTTACTTATTACTAGTGAGGAGCCAGATGAAGAGCTGTATGATGACTGTGCTGCTACTTTTGTTCCTCAAGACACCTTTTCCCCTCCTCCTCTCCCTCCCTCCTCCCCTCGCTCACCTCAACACTCTGGCTCTCAGCTTAGCATCCCTCCACCTCTTCCAAAGAGTAACAGCAACAATACTCTTGAAAGGGATGCTTCACCTTATCCACCTTCATCTCCTAGTGCACAGAGGAAAGGGTAAGGACTATAGAGTATATTAGATATTGGGGGATTTCCTCCAAACAAAAATAAAAGGGTTTTTTTAGGAGTCTTTTAGTGTCCTGAAATGTTCTCCTGTTTTTAGCTTTTAGACTCTCTTATTTGGCCTAACTCTCCTATATAAAGTCTGTTAGATTGGCCTCCCAAAATTTATTTTTATGTCTAAGAATAATTACAAATGTATGTTAGTTATTTATTTATACACATGTACATGTGTACATACACGTAACATGTAGTATGAAGGCCACTTTTATTATAAGGAAAATTAGTGATAGCTTCAATTGAGGATTTATTTACTGAGCAACCTTAGTGGCCAGACTACCTAAGTGACGTTAATTATGTTGAAGTATGGCTGGGTAGTTTTTAAATGGCTTGCTGTCATTTGATACATGAGTCTGCTATAGCTATACTATGATCTACTATGATGAAAATGCTTTTATATTTTTCTTATTGCCAGCATAACACTCACATATACATGTACATGAATATGTATGTACATATGAAAGATACATTCCATATATTAGTAGCTCAATTATTAATGTGTTTTTGGGTTTCACATAATTATGGAGGGGCATGTGGCTAATTCTGGCAACACCTATAAAATAACTTATTAGTTGGCCAAATACATGTATCCATTACTAATACATGTAGTACAGCAAAAATACTAAGAGAGAATTCTCCATTTTTACTACCTTTTCTAGTACATATAGTTGTACATGGTAGATGTTTGCATAGAAAGTTTGGCCAAAGATCATTTACAAAATTTGACCCTGCGGGCCAAATTTCGTCAAAAGTAAAAAGAAGAGAATTTGCCATTTAAAAAAATTTATGTACATGTACTTATGTTGTGTAGAAGTTTGAGCTGTTTGTGATTAAAATTGGATTTTTTTATGAATTTCAAAATTTGCTCAAAAATTGGACCAAAAACCCTGTACTATAGTACTGCGTCTTGGAGCAAATTTTGTCAAAATTGAAAAAGAAGTTATTTGCCAAATTTATAGTTTTCTCTGATGCATATACTTGTTTTTTATGGTACGTAGAAAGTCCGAACTGATTCCAATCAAAATTGGATCTTTTAATAAATTTTTATAGTTGCCCGAAAATCAAGCCATTTTTTGCCAGAATTGTCATGGAGAAAGTTTGCCATTTTTCTAATACATATACATGTACTCATAATTATGCTGCATATAAGTTGGAGCTTGTTCCTATTTAGTCTAATACAGGTATTTTATTCTTTACCAATTTTGATCATGCTAAAATATTAAAACAGGTAGCTAATTTGGGTTTTTTCTCATTGCAGATTAAGCAAAGAAGAGAAGCGATTGATGAAGG